TATTTGACATTTGGCAAAGATGTCAGTGACAGTAATACCAACCTAGAAAAAAAATATTTCGGCGAAAGCTGTTTCGCGCTAAATTTAAATTAAAAAATCTTACTATTTTTTGTCTACAGCAGTACATACGAACTAGTCAAGCAGTTTTTCCGATATTGATATGAAATTTTTCTCTTGTCTCTTTGTGACCAAAAAGCTGCTCATTTGGTGAAATAACCGATATGGGATCAATATAGCATATGGCTGTCAGGCAAACTTACCAACGGACAGAAAAAATTGCTTGTATGGAAACCTTTCTACATTTGATCAACTATCTTCATGAAATTGAATATAAATAATTTTCCAAGACTACGGTGCAGTTTTCGAAGACATCAGTCAGTTGTAATCATTAGARCATTCAGCTAACATACAATTGTAGCATCGCTGCATTTATCATTCCATGAGCTTACATATTTCCTTCCCACATTTGAGCACTAAAGCTGGCATAACCACACTCCACCAACACAAACACCGTTAGCCATGACGAACAAGATAACACAAATAAAAYGGCCGCAAAACTAAGTTATTTACAGTCAAAATGGGAGAGTAAATATGTCAGCATTTACTTAACGCAACCCACGACMAAATGGCGCCATTTCTATGCAAATTCTGCTATCTTTATATAACGGTAAAATAAATGCTATACAGATTTCTCAGACTGCAAAATGACGATAAATATTTCCAAAGGAATTTACATAATATAACTGTACATGCATATACAAATTAGCCAAATGACGTCTTAATTAATACTCGAAGAATTCTTCTTGCTGATTAAAAGCTGTCATAAACACTTTGCGAATGGCACTTAGTGCTCTTCTTGAAAGCTTTTAAAACACTTCGCTAACGTCATTTGGAATATTGCTGCTTAAATCCAGTTATGTGTGACTGCTTTATGCAACACGAGACGACGACAACTACTTCTATGCAATTAATTTAATTAATTTTCCTTTGGCATTACGCAATGCACATATGCGAGTGTGTGTATGTGTGCGTGTGTTTGCAGGTATCATTCATATTTCACGCTATGAGCRCATTACTTATACAAGCATCTAAGTATTTGCTTTAGCGCTTACATGGTTACAGCAGCAAAAACAACAACAACGCAARCGCTCTTAAGGCATAAACACTTTAACAGCACTTAACAGGCAGCGAGTRGATTAGTACGAGCTTTCGGCCAACTGATGCATGTGCATGTGTGTGTGTGAGTACATCAAAAGCACTCAAAGTGCACGAATGTGTGCGCTTGTGTGTGTGCAAGCAGTAAATTCAAAGTACTTAACGGTACATATGCAATGCGGTAAGATTTATTGCGCTCATAAAGTGTTGTGGGCGTAAGTGTGTTAAAGGGTGTGCGCGGCACGCATTGATGACMATTGACATATGTGAATTGCGAAACTACACRCAWCCACGCACAYGCCGTTGTTTCGTAACGGTAATRTAATTACGTAACTGCTTGCATGAGYGTTTCATTTTGGCAACTACAARCGGCATCAGCTATGCTGTGGCTTTCGTGGTGAGCATTGCGATTGTGTAACCATAGAGGATTTCATTATCAACGTCACGGCATAGAAATCATCTCCATTGTTATGTCTATTGATAGCTTCATGTAACTCGGTTGCGTAGGACAATTTAAATTAAACTTGGCTCAAAAAGAAATTATTGACGTTTATTTCGGCGATACCGTAGCTATAATACCCTTTACMGGTGAATTTCTTATAACACAAAATGGTATRCAAATATACCTTGAATTGGATCGGGCAGTTTATTTTGTAGCTATAGACTCTTTTCATAGGGACACTGCAAAAGTAGACCGATAGGGATAGCAAATGACGCCATATTTTTCACACTATTTTGATATTTCTCTGGAGTAAGGTTTACCATTTTATTATGGAAAGATATACGATCCAACAACGAGTTGAAATTTTTAAAATTTATTACCGAAATTCAGTGGCCTCAACTTTAAGACCGCTACCCGGCTACCGCTACCGGCTACCGGCATCAATAAATCGACTCGCTTCCAATCGGATAAAATTTGAAAAAGCGTACCCTTCCTAAAAAGCTCTTCGGTTTTGCAGTTTCCGAYGATTCTGCTGTAACCGGACCCCYCATGCGAGTCTAACATGGAAGAAACTTGACAYTTATGCTATTAAGATCAAGCACTCATGCACTAGTTTTGAGCACACAGTCAACAAACTCAAAGCCAGTATATCGGAGTRAATGCACTCCTCTCTGAAGGAAGCTGCGCTTCGTTGCAGTACATCTTCTGCTACCTTGCTGGCAGTCAGCTACCCTGAAAGACGCTACAGTGGTCTGGTCATCTACAACTAGATAGAGAGCTCTCGACGGAAAACTCCACCAGCTGCTTTCTGCCCCTTAATTACGAGCCATCCGTGAAAAGGGTCGTTGCACCCCTTCTCCAAAGGATTGGTCACAAGCATATTTTCGAGCTCAGAAGGAACAGCTAGGAGAAGGTTCAATGATAGGGACTGTGTTTAGGAACTAAKTATGGAAAAAATTTGAGAGTACTTTAACAAAAACTTTACTCCAGGCTGATACTTACAGATTAAATTCAGGCTAATTTTATTCGTTATCATTCAGAAAATTTCTTATAAACTGGTAATGTGATTTTCTAAGTTTTGACGACGCAACAATTTTGAAGCGACCTTAAAAATTAAGTAGTGTTACGGAAAACGGCTACCCAGTAAAAACAAAAATTTAACTWCTTGCTTTCAAGCTCTCTCTGCTCTCTAGTTTATTAAAAATATTGTTKTRTTTATTTATGTTACATATATATCCTTTTACTCAAAATAAGGTGGAAACCTTCTAAATATKGGTTTTGATTTTGTTTTGTATTACTCGACCCAGTGAAATGACAATGGAGTGTTAAGTTAATGATTTTAATTTCATGTCAACCTTTTGAATCATAATTAAATAATTAAATTAAGAACTAGAACTGGATAACAAATTTCACTGCTTATTGTTGTTTGAAACACAGCTATAGAAATGAAATTTATTTACTTCACTTACGTGTGCCATCGAAACGTGTTGCGATCGTATCCAAGAAGGTATTTTGGGGCGCAAGCAGCCCCTTTCGGGCTGGCATTGGATTGTAGGGTCTTTTATATAATTTCTTCTCACGATGAAAATCTGCAAGGAAATAGTTATAGAGTATTAGTACTTAGGTGTTTTTGTATATAAACAAACACGAATTTGATCRTCATGAAATATGCTAATTCAGAAACTTTGTATCAATTTCTATTAGCTATATGCTTGACTGAATTAAAACAAAAAGGTGACACCAATTAACAGTTAAATTAAAAATTTTTGAAATTTACTAGCATTTTCAGTTCGAATTTAAATTATTCTAAGCACTGGCATTCAAAWCGCCCACAAATCAACACTTTGAAAGCAAATGCTGCTGCTCATTTGAATAAATTTATTTTGGCGCGCTTAATCCGATTAACATGCCACAGCTGCAGCACCAACGACGCCAGCTAAATGCGCTCGAATGTGCACTCCTCAATAAATACACTCGCATATGCTTAGTGGCTTCAATAAAATTTGCTCTGTTATGTTCGTTGCAGTATCTGCTTTATTACTTGTTTATTATTGATTTAATGCGACCACAAATTCGTGCAGGCGGCACATTTGCGCGTACAGCTTTAGCCATTTATATGAGCTTATTAGAATTTCAATAAATAAAATTGAGTTATCGCGTTCGCAGAGTTTAATTTTACGGCTATAAACCGAATGAACTTCAGCGCAGATGTATGTATGTATGTATTTATCTAAACATGCATTTCAACTAAATCTCGTTCGTTAAAATATGGAAATTTGACAATAAACGTGACAATACGCTGTGTATCTGATAACGGCTAATGCTCATAATTGTATAATTAAAATAAATATTTGCTTCGTAATTAATAAGTAGTGACCTAATTTGGATATATTCAATGTGCATGCTTAATGTATATGCTAATTAAACTTGTGTATTTAATTTAATATTACTCACTAGTTAAATCACGACTTTCTAATTAAATATATGAATGTATTTTAATAGCATCTGTTATTTAAATATGTCTCTCTCTGTTAAATATTAATTCAATATAATATTGCTGAAATTAATGCTTTCTCTGCTAGATTTACCATCGATCAAAATTGAATCGGACTAACAAAACGAAATAATATTTTCATGTATTTTAATAAATATTTTGCTATTGGCTTCAAAGCAGGCTCCAAGTTTCTATAAGCCGTATAATCCTCGGCTGTGATGAGCGCCAATGTCTTCTGCGAAAATTGGTTTTTCGGTTTTGGCTTATTTTTTGGGCGAAATTCGGTAGATTCTTGYACAGTTTAGATATTATTTTTATAAACCCACGTCTCCTGTTAACAGCTGGCAACTCTTTTAAAAATTACCATCAACGTTGTGCGACCTCTACTCGAMAAGATTTTTGCTAAAGATTGCTTTCTAGCATTGACGCCCTTCATATCCAAAACATTAACCAAAATGTGTTGCGTCGGTTCTTAAGAGATGTTATAATCCTCTGTTATTTCTTTGATGCTACACAATGATATCCAAGCACTGTTTCTTTTGTGCCGTAATCGTTATTAACAGCAGTGGGTGGACAACTTGCATGAGGCATGCTTTGGATAACTGTACGACCTTTACTTACTCAAATTTTGATGTTCGTGATAAAGTAGACTATTCAAAATAACACGCCAACTTTTCCAACGATTYCATAGTACCGAGTTCAATGAAAAACAAAATCAAGAAAACTCATTGTTGAATTTTGTTCGCTGATAACAATCTTTTGCTTTAGAAAAAGATTATTAATCAATTATTTTTACGCCCATAGTTTAAATAGACCAGTCCGGGCAAAATTTGATCACATGGTATTTATTTGTTTCTTTTCGTTTTTTTTTTCAAAGTTTAGCGAAAAAAGTAASAATGGTGAATTCCGATCTCATAAGAAACTCTAGAAAATTTGTAAATGAAAGACTATAGTTTCGCTCAAAGCTGAAAAATAATCCTCTTTGAAAAATAGAAATCTGATTTTGTAAATATATTTATAATAATATATTTATAATAACTAAAAATATGATTTCAAATTCAAATGCTTATTACAATTATTATACTTAGCAAGCAATTTATTTTTTTACCGAGTTGCGTAATTTTTTGAAACAGCTGGCAACGCTTCTCAAAAATATCGCCAACAAGAATATTTCTTAAAAGTGTCTTATTTGATAGTGACGTTGCCATATTTCATTTACTTTATTACTTCAGTGCAGTGGAAATTTTTAATAGGTGGCAACTCTTTTAAAAATTTCTTTCAATCGTAAGCCTTGGACCGTTAAGTATTTAGTTGTATATCCATGTTGTACAACTGTTTTAATTCAATTTTATTAAATAAAAAAAATTGGAATATGGCAACCTTTTCAATAAAGCTTCAACATGAATATTTCTTGAATTAATTTTATTTGATGCGCACGTTGTAATATTTCAATTGTTTAAGTAATTTAATTTATTTTTAAAAAAATTTGCAGATGGCAACACTTTGCTAAATTTTCCTTTACCTTAAAACGTAAGTATTTTAAAACTTATCTAGTTTGTTATATTTATATTATATTTATGTTATTTATTTTATACCACTATAATAAATCAACATTATTAAATAAAAATASAGGTATAAAAATAATTTGAAAATAAATCGGAAACATGTGGTAACTTTCTACTTTTTTATCCTCGCC